TTCTCAGCCTAATCTAAGGGCCATATATAGGCTTCTCCAAAAGGAAAAAGATTGCCAATAAGATTCAGTCTTGGGCTGGGATGGCTGGACTTACACTCCAACTCTGAAAACCCTCTTCAAGTTGACCTAAGAACTGGCAGAGGTTTGGAAGGGAGAGGAATGCTGGAATAATCGGGAGGTTAGGGAAACAGAGGTGTCCAAACTCAAACTACAATTTGACTTCTTAAGCTCTTTTCATTTTTCAGAATGAATCAACACGTCTACAGGAATCCACAGGGACCTAAACCAAGTATTTGATATTTATGAAAAAGTTCTGTGCCCTTTTCACTCAATTCTACAATAGGAATAATAGTCTTAATTATTGAATGCTGTGGGGGTAGCGAAGGCTTTGTGCTCAGCATTTTCCATGTTGGAGCGTTTAATGGAGCACAGGAATGGATCTGGCTAAGGACCATAAAATTCTTCCTAGGAGTATGTTCTGTTGTCTGTCTATGAGAACTGCTGGCTAGTGGCTGTTCTAGAAACAAGAAGAGAGGCACATTTCCACTTGGTTACTAACCGGAGTGGTAAGTGGCCATTGAATGCTCTGGAGAACTTATTAATGGATGTATATGTGTTATTCTGCCTCTTCAAAACCAGAGGAGGGCTATGCTATAATGGGCTTAGATCTGGAAGACCAGGGCTCACATCCTAGCTCTGCCCTCACTAGCTAAGCCCCATCTTGGAGACTCATTTAACCTCCCAGCCTGTCTTTCTGTCTGGGGATTGATAATGCCAAATTCACTGGTTCTCAAACATCCACCTGAGGGTCTGTCAGTTCTAGCCCAAGATGACACACAGCCTGTGACCAAAATGCGACAATGACAAAGTTAATGATGTAGTAAATGTTTCACCAAGTTAAGTGTGTTCAATTTAAAGGCTTGTCTTTTACTCTGAAATTATGTCCTCTCTGGTTTTATAGTGTTAAAAATCCTCTTTTATGAAATGATGATGAAAACAGACTGTAGTTGTAGTTAGTGATTTAATAACTCTTTTTTTTTTTTTTTGAGACAGAGTCTCACTGTGTTGTCCAGGCTGGAGTGCAGTGGTGTGATCTCGGCTCACTGCAGCCTCCACCTCCCAGGTTCAAGCAATTCTCCTGCCTCAGCCTCCCAAGTAGCTGGGATTACAGGTGCCCACCACTGTGCCCAGCTAATTTTTGTATTTTTAGTAGAGACAGGGTTTTGCCATGTTGGCCAGGCTGATCTTGAATTCCTGACCTTAAGTGATCCTCCCACCTCGGCCTCCCATAGTGCCAGGATTACAGGCATGATCACCACGTCCAGCCAATAACTCTTATTTTTATGTCCTTGATTGGCAAAATAAGGAGTTGGCATCCTTATGTTGGTCACACTAGTTTGTTGTGATTATACTAGTCTGTGAAATCTAAGTCTGAGAACCACTGGCCTAGTTCACAGCTTGTTATGAGGACTGAAATAAGATACGTGAAAATATATTACTTAGATCAAGGATACCCAAACATAAGGTGTTATTTTAATCATTACCTCTAGCCATCATTTTCTGGTGGGATGTTCCTGGCCATATATGGACACCCTGGGGTTGGAAGCTTGAACTCCATCCATTGATTTTCCATCTGTAATAGGTCTGTTCACTAAATTTTCACAAGCAAAATAAAACAGAGAATTATCTCTGAAAAAGAGAAGAGAAGTATTATTCCTTCAGTTCAGATTTCTCTCTGCTCCCATAGAATGCTTTGCTTCTCTGCTCTGACTTCCTTTAGATTTTCACTGTTAGAGGTCAGGAAACCAAGACGTTCCCCTTCACACCTCCAAAGTGTCTCTCCTTAACAGCACAGTAGGCCTGTTTCAACATCATGGGGTTGGAAAGATTGTGTCCTAAGTGACAGTTTCTCTCTTTCAGTTATCACACGAAACTTTGTAACTAGACATTTTTAAAAAATACAATCTTAGCATGGCGGCTTAGAGTATAGACACCGGCTTGTTTGGCTTTGGTTTCGAAATTACTAATGAGGTGGTCAGGAGCGACTTCTTGTGTCATGGACATGTATCATGACTCTTGTGTCAAGAATTGTTGGCCTTCCAGTTTATATCTTTGATCTCATACAAAATAAGCAGTTTTGTGTCTCAGAGCAGCTGGTTGGGGATCAATTTACTATCCTTTTTGTTATTTACCATTTTTTGCAAGTTCTTAATTTTTCTGCTGTTAGCTGTAACAAGAGGACTGAAGCTCCTCGGTCTCTAGTACTCATATTACAGGAATTTAGGGATTGAAAATTTCAGATTTCAGGAGGATTACCATCAGAACCATGCACTGCTGTCTGTGGAACTCCCACTCTGTGAAGAGCTTTGTTCTGTGTTGTGATGGTTCACAAAAGATGAGGCCAAAATGGTTCCTGCCCTCCAGAACCTTTTGATACTAAAGGGAGGGAAACAAGATTGGTTAACATACAGGGCTGAGAGCATGTGCTCATTACGCACATTCATGGTACAATACAAGTAAGGTTGTCAAAAATGAACTGATGTATCAATGAGGGTAAGTATTAGCAAGATAGTTAAGATTAAGTAAGATATTAATAAGATAGTAAGATATTAACCAAATCTTATAGAAGTAAAGTTATTGAAATTGCTGTTTTAACATAAAGTTTAGAATGAATTATTTGATAAGAAATGAACTTTTTCCTGGCTCTGCCACTGGTGAGCTTTATGCTTGGGCTGCTTACCTGATTGTGATGTTTCCCACCTATTTTCCAAAAGGCAATGGGAACCACTACTACTCTTACCAGGGCAAGTACTAGACTTAACTGTAGTCTTAAGAGTTAAAAATAGATACATGTGGCTGGGACTGAGTTGCTGGTTCTGATTCTGAGCTGCTGGTTCCCTCCCCCTCTCCATTACCCATTCCTACAAGGAACTCTTCCCAATGCCAAACCCATGACTGGGGATGCCACAGCTGCTGTCACCTTTTCAGGAGAAGAGAAGCTGCTGTAGGATGCCCTGCCTGATTGGGAGTTTATGAGGCCTCAAGAGGAGAAGCACTTTCTGCTCTCCCACAAGAAGAAGCAAACAGCTATTGTGCCTGCCCTGTCAGCACAGGCTGGACTTTGCAGATGCTTGCAATTAGTATCCTGCCATCAGGTTCTGTCTGGCCAGACTCCAAATCACAGGTTGGAAATAGGCTTTCATGTTTAACAAATATCACTGTGATTAAAAAACAGTAGGCATATCCCTTTAGCCCCATGAGTTCCTGGTCCTATAGCGTGGGGCATGGCCAGAAGCAGCCCAGAGCAGGATCCTCTAACATGGGCTCTTGCCCTGGTCTGATGGCAGTGATGAGTAAACTTTACAACTCTAGAGATGTTCAAGCTGGAGGAACAATTGTTCTTCATTGAGGTGGAAGTTTTGCTCATGATTCTTTATAGGTTACAGGTTTGCACTGGATGAATGACCCAGTTGCAAGCAGCTCCTTGTCAGCTCAATGCCATTTCCATTAGCCATTGCTGTGCTAGAGGCATTATATACTATCATGTTTAATGATATTTTTTCTATAGACCAAATTTTTAACTCTATTAAAACAGCCATATACTACAGACCCTGAAACATTTTCATTCTGTAGGACACTAAAAGTGTCCTAGAAGACCTTCCTCATCCTGTGACATGATTCCTTCCCAAAGCATTCTCTCTGTTCTTCGGATTTAAAAGAGTAATAATAAAAATATACTGCCTTCAATGTGTAAAGCTATTAATAAGGGTTTCCAGATTTCAACCTAGAGAAGAGGAAACATAAATTAAGAGCACAGAAGTCAGAGAATTGTGTAGCTCTGATTCCAGGCAGTTTATCTCAATGGTGTAGTGGGAAGAACCCAGCCTTTGTGATCAAGAGAACAGAACTGCTGCTATTTAGCTGTCTAATCTTGGACAATATATTTAGCCTCTCTGAGCCTCAGATTTATTTTTTCTTTTCTTTTCTTTTCTCTTTTTTTTTTCTTTGAGACAGGGTCTTTCTCTGTTGCCCAGGATGGAGTATGGTGGCACAAATCAGGGTTCACTGCAACCTTGACCTCCCAGGCTCAAGCAATCCTCCTGGCTCAGCCTTCCAAGTAGCTGGGAACACAGGAATGCACCACCAAGCCCAGCTAATTTTTGAAGTTTTTTGTAGAGATGGGGTTTCACTGTGTTGCCCAGGCTAGTCTCGATCTTCTAGGCTCAAGTGATTCTCCTGCCTCGGCTTCCCAAAGTTCTAGGATTACAGGCATAAGCCACTGTGCCTGGCCTTCAGTTTTCTTTTTTGTTGGAATCAAGTTAGTTAACAAATACTTATCAAGTTCTCACTGTGTGCTGGGCTGTATGTCAGGCATTGAGTACATAGCAGTAAATAAGATAGGCGTGACTCCTGCCCTCATGGAAATTACAGTCTAGCCGAATCAAGTTAAATGAAATAATATAATGTCAAAGTTCTTTCCCAAAGTTGACATTCAATAAATGCTAATCCCCTTCCGCTTCCCTTCAAATATATGATCATTATATATTCTGACACAGTCAAACACAAGATGGCCACAGACAATTTCATACATACAAGAATTTTGTTGGAGCCCAGACACCCATAGTATAAGATAATTCTTCAGTATTATGTCTCACGAAACTTAGATCAGTGTGTGGTCTTGATTTAAATCCATGTAACCAAGGATTTCTATTTATGGTCAACAATTAATCCTTATTTTTGGTGGAGTTTAAGGAATTATACAGATATTGCCTCACTGATGCTTTCAGACCATTTGTGAAGTGAATGAGAATAGGTATTATTATTATTAAACCCACTTCACAGATGAGGAAGCGAATGGAAGCAGATTCTTTGGGGCCTCCTTTGTTCCCTAGTCCTAGTCTGCACAGAGGAAGCACTGGATAGACGCTGTTTGCACATTGACTGTTCCGGCAACTTGGAAAGGAGAGGTACCCCGCGTTAGCAAAAACAGATACTGACTCAGGGTTGCACTGCGGCCGCTCAGTTCTTGCCTTCTCCCTCATTTCTTCAGGTGGGTGAGAAATGGGCGACTGGAGTTTCCTGGGGAACATCTTGGAGGAGGTGAATGAGCACTCCACCGTCATCGGCAGAGTCTGGCTCACCGTGCTTTTCATCTTCCGGATCCTCATCCTTGGCACGGCCGCGGAGTTCGTGTGGGGGGATGAGCAATCTGACTTCGTGTGCAACACCCAGCAGCCTGGCTGCGAGAACGTCTGCTACGACGAGGCCTTTCCCATCTCCCACATCCGCCTCTGGGTGCTGCAGATCATCTTCGTCTCCACCCCGTCCCTGATGTACGTGGGGCATGCGGTGCACTACGTCCGCATGAAAGAGAAGCGCAAAAGCCGCGAGGCAGAGGAGCTGGGCCAGCAGGCGGGAGCTAACGGCGGTGAGAGGGGGCCCCTCAGCCCGGACCAGGGCAACGTCAAGAAGAGCAGCGGCAGCAAAGGCACCAAGAAGTTCCGGCTGGAGGGGACCCTGCTGAGGACCTACATTTGCCACATCATCTTCAAGACCCTCTTTGAAGTGGGCTTCATCGTGGGCCACTACTTCCTGTACGGGTTCCGGATCCTGCCTCTGTACCGCTGCAGCCGGTGGCCCTGCCCCAATGTGGTGGACTGCTTTGTGTCCCGGCCCACGGAGAAGACCATCTTCATCCTGTTCATGTTGTCTGTGGCCTCTGTGTCTCTCTTCCTCAATGTGATGGAGTTGGGCCACCTGGGCCTGAAGGGGATCCGGTCTGCTTTCAAGAGGCCCGTCGAGCAGCCCCTGGGGGAGATTCCTGAGAAATCCCTCCACTCCATTGCTGTCTCCTCCATCCAGAAAGCCAAGGGCTATCAGCTCCTAGAAGAAGAGAAAATAGTTTCCCACTATTTCCCTTTGACCGAGGTTGGGATGGTGGAGACTGCCAAGCCTTTCAGTCAGTTCGAGGAGAAGATCACCACAGGACCCCCGGAGGACTTGTCGCGGGGCTACCAAGAGACACTGCCTTCCTACGCTCAGGTGGGGGCGCAGGAAGTGGAGGGCGAGGGGCCGCCTGCAGAGGAGGGAGCTGAACCGGAGGTGGGAGAGAAGAAGCCGGAAGAAGAGAGGCTGACCATGGAGGAGCAGGAGAAGGTGGCTGTGCCAGAGGGGGAGGAAGTAGAGACCCCCGGAGTGGGGAAGGAGGGTGAAAAAGAAGAGCTGCAGTCGGAGAAGGTGTCAAAGCAAGGGCTGCCAGCTGAGAAGACGCCTTCACTCTGTCAAGAGCTGACAACAGATGAGGCCAGACCCCTGAGCAGGCTGAGCAAAGCCAGCAGCCGAGCCAGGTCAGACGATCTAACCGTATGAAGTGATGCCAAAGGAAAAAAAAAAAAAAAAACGCCCAGGCTTACATAGGGCAAGATGAAAGGAAAAGGTGCCAACATGATCTGAATCTTCTGTCTCCTGCCCTCGCCCCAGCCCCTGATTGGACAGGCACTGCAGCCGGGCAGTGCATGCCACGCAACTAGGAAACAGTCTTTCCCACATCCAACATAAGGGCTACCAAGATAAACCCATCGACCCACTAAAGTTCCCCAGTCTCATAGGACTGACCCCTTCCTCCAACCCCAACAGCTATGGGGTACTCTTCTTTCATCCCCATTTATCCATAGAAACCCTTAAATCAGAATTGGGGTTGCATCATAGCCTTTTACCAGTCTTGTCTCAAGCTCACTAAGCCAGAACCTATCATCCCAGCGTTTCTGAAGCAAATACCATGTGACCATATTTCAGGGATCCACACTCAAAAGCCTACAAAATACAGACAGGTGACTTCAGTTGCAAGGCAGGCCTGTTCTAATGCAAGGGAGAGAATGGGGCTGTGGAAGTTGGAGAGCAGGGGGAGCTGCAGCTCACTTCCAGACAATGAGTACCATGAAGTGTTACCTGGTCTTTCTGAGTTTTCAAGGGAAGCCAGAAATCCAACTTTTTTTTTTTTTTTTTTTAGACAGACTCTCTGTTGCCCAGGCTGGGGTGCAGTGGCACAATCTCAGCTCACTGCAGCCTCAACCTCCCAGGCTCAAGTCATCCTCTCACCTTAGCCTCACAAGTAGCTGGGACTATAGGTGCACACCACCACACCTGGCTAATTTTTGTATTTTTTGTAGAGATAGGGTTTCACCATGTTGCCTAGGCTGGTCTCAAACTCCTGGGTTCAAGTGATCCACCTACCTCAGCCTCCCATAATGCTAGGATTACAGGTGTACACCACCATGCCTGGCCCATGAAATCTAAATTTTAATTGAAATTTTCAAAACTGTTAATGTTGGCAACTAAATTTTAAATATAACATGTAGGCCAAATTAAATATGTGCAAGCCACATTTAACCTGTGAGGCACCAATTTGCATTATCAGCTTATGCTAATTAGCCCAGCTTTCATATGGAATTGGTCTTATTATTTATGGTCTCAACTTGTTTCAGTGGCTCCCAAACCTTATTTCACTACTTTAGAGTGTTTTGTTTAAATCTTCAGTCCAGGAGCTATCTAGAGTTCTCACTGACCATTCTTCTGGGTTATTGTAGCCCCTGGATTCTGAAGCAATAATATGCTTTGTATTGGTGGGAATTCTGCCCTGGGTACCATCAGAGAAAGAGAGCAAGTTGCCAAAACTCTCTCTTTGAAATCAAAAGGCTTTGAGGCCTGATTGTAATTTTTTTTTTCCCTGAAAGCAAAGGAGATCCTTTCTTTACTCCCTTCTTGCATCATCAGTGCTCAGCCTAAAAGCTATACCTCTTTTCATTAGGGACTAGAAGCAAGCCCAGTTTCGAGCTGGAGGACGCCTGCTCACAGGTGTGTCCTGGGAAGAGGCAGCTCTCAGGCCTTATTCAGGCATGAGATCAAAAGGGCCATCAGAGTGGTGCCAGAGGGAGCCTCTCACAAAGTGGGTGCTCACACAGCTAGGATCCCAAAGTGGAGTCTCAGGCAAAGCTTCATCCCTGGAAAGGACACAGAGGCTAAAGGGAACAAGAAGAATCTTGAAGGGCTCCAGTCCTCATGTTCCCACAACTCACCCTCCTCAAACACAGAGTCTATTCAGGGGGAATCCTCATGTACATGTACATATTTCATAACAGGAGCAATTTTACCCTCAGCCAATCGATTTCCAGAGCAGGGAGAGAAAACTAAGATGGTTCACCTAAACCAACACGATGCTTCATGGACTGCAGTGCCAAAGATCGGGTTGGAGGTATAGAAACCAAGTTGACATGGCAGGGACCTAGACAGGAGACCAGCAAGGGGCCCAAAAGAGGCACTTAGAAAAACTGCCTTTGTTGTATCTTCCCAACCCCAATCAGCACCATCTCAAAGTATTGCAATCCCCTTTGCTGCCCTCTGGTTACCACCTTCCTTTTAAGATATTCATTCAAGATATACTTTTCCAAAGCAGGCCTTTTCCAAAACTATTCCTCCCCCTTGACAAAATGTCCATTCCTTGGTGACCCATTCTAAAGCAAAATAGTCTAAAAATTAAATTCATTCTAAAGTTTATTTGTTTGGTAACTCCTCCCGGGAAAATTGCATTTAAAAGAGAAAGACCTAGGTAACCCAAAGTAACAAACCTTCAGTGGAAGGATGTTGAATAGAAGAGGTATGTTTATCTTGGAGACACGTGACTTTCTGGCTACTGCTTGATCTTACCCCTAGCAGGCAACCTTATTCCACACAGACCTTCTCCTATATGGTGAGACGATGAAGAAAATCCGAGGCCTGAGAACCAGAGAGTTGCATCCTTGACCCTAATGTCTGCACTATTGCTCCTATAGTTTTGTTCCTGAAGACGCATTTTAGGAAGAGCCTTATGAATAGCTTGATCATTACCAGAATAAAGTATCTATCTCAACTAGAGTCTAATACAAAAAAGAAAAGAAAAAGAAAAACGATATCCTGTTCTAAGTAAAACTGCTGTTTGCTACCAGTTGTAGAAATGTGGGCTGCTGGTCTCCTTATCTCAGGTGAGACATAAGTGTGTGAGTGAGTGTCTTTCCTCAGATGAAGCAGCATCCTGCTTCAATGCACATACCCACACTGTCCCCACATTTTCCCTCTTAGTCTTCCCAATAAAAGAAGAAGCCTATTTAGGAAGAAACAGACACAGGCATCAAGGGGCTGCATTTTTTTTTTTTCTATTTCTGCCAATTAGTAGCTCTGTCATTATTGTGCCTTGAGCTCTCTGTACTTCAGTTTTCTGTCTACAGACTAGAGCTGGCATTTGCCACCTACCTATGTCCAGGGGTGTCGTAAAGATTGAGTTGGCCGCCAAGCATGAAGCCTGCTGAGTGGTGCCATTCCCTGAGAGATTCCTCCAACAGCAGTGAGACTGGGAACAAGGGCAAGTGGATGGTTTCCATCTGTCCCCCCAACCTGCCTCGTAGTTAGCTGGTGAGTTTCTCAACATGAAATAGACACTCTAGAGATCAGTTTTCTCAGAAGAGATTCAAAACAGAATCTTAACCCCATATGTTTAGTAGGAACCTGAGGCTCATTGACCTTAAGAAATGATTGGAGACAGATTGCCAATTACTTTCATCCTCTGAGAAAGAGGTCCCATCTTAAGCTGCCACACAAATGCAGCCAGTTTCCATTCAGAAGCAGCTGCATGTCTGTGGTAGTCCTTACTCTAGGCAGCTGCACCCCTCAGCATCTGTTTTGAGGCATATAATTATGACTACTCAGGATTATAATCCCCATGGGCTTCATTATGTCCAGATTTCATTTCTACTCCTAGTTGGTCCCTTGTTAGATAAAAACCCTTGGGCACATGGACCTACCAATAAAAAGATGCATTAGACAGCGGGACATCAGTAGTACAGCTCTTTTCAGAGGAAAAGGGCTAAGCACTTGAGAGCAGTTCTAACACCACTATCAGGGGAGATCTGTGACCAAGGATAGAGGTACTCAAAGTTCAGTGAGAAAGGTTTGAGCCTGGCTGTGTAAACCCTGGTCTAGTGTTTTGGGCGTTGTAAAAAAACAAAAAAAATCCTGTCTGCTTTTCACCATGTCTTTGTCCCCTGCCACACAGGGGAAGCATCCAGTATAGCATTGGACAGATATTCCTGAAGGTCTGTGTGACCTGGGGACCTACAAAGAACACTGCCATTCAAGTCAGGGGTGTTGACTGCCCCTCCTGACTCTGCGTATGCCAAATGCCACTTACCTGCTCTATGAGACAATTTTCTCTATGTTAATTGAGGATGATAAGTTCTGCCCCTCCTTCGCAAGATGTTATAGGTCTTTTAAAAACTCACTTATTTGGAAATAAATGGAAAAGAAGGAAGCCATCATCAAAATTTGTAAGTCCATATTGTAAAATGTATACTGAAGCAGTGACAGTCATCACTTTCAAATACTGCGTAGATTGTTAACTAAGATACTGATAAAAAGTGAGCCAATAACTAAAATAAGGGAAATAAATTTGGAGGGGCAGCAGGCAGTCTTGAATTCCTAAGAATTACGGTACAAAAAAAAAAAAAAAGAATGTCTTTAATCACTCAAGAATTGGCTGCCAAAAGAGATGCTAAAGGTACTCGGCTTACTAGAGCTCACATACGGAGAAGCGTCAACCCCTGAGACAATCTCTGACTCATGGCAGAAGGGGCTCCATGGATACGGAAAAAGCTGCATGCAAGAACTCTTCAGTCCAGGCCATGTGGAAGGCCTAGGAGAAGACTGATACAAACCACTGCTCCTCTCCAGTTCCTGAGAAGGGTCAATAGGCATGCTCTAATTAAGAATGAGAACACCACTCCAACTGCATGTCCCATTCCATTCCCCCAACCTCCTCTTCTCTCATTTCCCTGACCATGATTTACCCTCGATGCATATCATGTGCAAATGATTGCCCAACCCAACTTAGCAAAGTTTAGATGAGAAAGGTTTGCCTGATTGGAAGAAAAACTCTTCTGCGTGTAAATACAATCTGTAAAACTAGTTAAGTGTGTACCTAGAAATGATAGCAAAATAGGCAGGGAGACTTTCCCCTTTTGCAACTATTGTATTATAACTAAATATGTACTTGGGGAAGGGAGGAGAAAAAGGAAACAAAATTCTCAGTTCAGCGGTTGAGTAAGAGGAAAGAAAAACTTTTATGAAAGACAGTTCACTCTCCACTGCCCTAGACATTGCGGCTCCCAGAGCCAGGAAAAAGTGGCATTCAGCTCTGGCAGTAGTCACCAAGTTGCAGTGGGACATCCCATAGCCTCCAGCGCCACTGCTTTCTGGAAGTTCTACAGAGCAGACAAAGAAGATCCTAAAAGAATTCATAAGGTTGCCTGAAGGGAAAAGTAGATGGCCCCATGGCCTTTTTCTGCAATTTTTTCACCTATGAAACAAAGTGGTAAAGACTCAGTTTGTTATGAAGCACATTCATAACAAACTTCCTGGGGAAATCTCTGGCAAAAGAGAGAGGCATTATTGGGATGGTGGTCCTGTATTCTCCAACCTTCCACATTCTCGTGTCAGAGCTAATAGTCGTGTGTTAGACTGTTATAAAACAAAATTAACTTGACTTTTCACCATCTTTGTTTTTTCTTTTTCCGTGTCAGCTGAACTAGACTGTGAAGAGACGGCCTCAGTTTCTAGTTATTTTTCCTTTGGAGTTGAGGGCCTAGAAAACAAGGGGAGTGGGGTAAAGTGGGTGAGGGTGGTATGTTAGTAAGTGTTCCACCACCAGCTCTCTCCAGGGCAAAGAAGGCCAACTTTGTAGTATTTGCCAATTTCCTTGGTATAAATTTTCCCACTGCCACCAATTTCAAGCTACCAACATAATGTCACTGAACGCAGAGCTGGGAAGACGTGCAGTAGCATAACATAATAAAGTTTTCCACTATACGATGGATGTATACCATTCAGTAGGTATAAATAACCTCAAGAACATAGATGATAGTAAAATAATTAGGAAGTGATTAGCTTTGAATATTTATTACCTTTGTGTTTCATATCTTTTTTGTTTAAATTCATATAACTTAACTGTTAATAATGACTGTTCTTAACAAATGACTCACAGAATTCCTGAAAATTTAGCAAATGACTCTTGTCAGCCAGTACAAACCAGCTCCAACACACCACTGGGTGGGATGGAAGAGAATCCGATTCAGAAAGAGCATGAAAACTTTCTTGATCAATTGAGATTAGGTCCATTTTTTCCCCCTCTCTTTCACTATACAAATCTCAAGAAAAAATAAAAGATATATTTGTTTGGACTATGGAAAGGTACAATAGAATGATATTTGTTCTCTTCCATGTCAATGAGAACTACGGAAAGAGTTAAATTTGTTCATTACAGGTAAAAATAAACTGATAACAAAATAAAATTAGCCAAAAGCTTCTGTCTGGGATTCATCATGTCACTTCTCTGCTCAAATTCCTTCAATAGCTCTTCATTGCTTACCCAATAAATTCTAGATTTTTTTAAAACATTACTTACGAAGCCCTTTGTTACTGACTCCAACTCACCTAGAGACTATGTCTGTTTTTAACTGACCAGAATCTATTCTCCTTCTTTTATAATTTCCATTTCACCTATGGGAAACATCCTTCCTCAATTAGATGTAGTCTTAGTGAACCCTTAGTCATGTTAACCCAACATCCCCTGGTAAAGGGTCAGGTTTTTTGACCCAAATGGGCCAGTCAGACACTCTCTCCCTGGAATGTGAATCTTGAATAAGAGTAATAAAGAAACTGAAAATCGGTTGGAATTAATTTATCTTGGCAGAAGCTCCAGAAGAAAAATTCACAATTAGTTTCTGCTTACCTAGATTTCCAGGAGATGTTTGGCTCCACATTTTTCAGATCATGGTTCTTCAGCCTTCCTTCAATTTGCTAAGCTACCTCAGAGTTCCTTTTTATTTTTCTAATTTAACACAGCCAAAATCATCTCCGTTGCTTGCCAGCACAACCCAACTAGTACACCACCTTTCTAGCCTCACCTCCCACATTCATCTACCCATACCTGTGCCCCAGTCTTACAGAACCATTGGCCACTCCCCAGTATGGACAGTCCTGGCAGATCATGATGAATGTCATGTTGTTTCAGGACTCTGTGCTCTGTCCTGCCTTTTTCCTATAGTCAGCTTTTCTCATCCTATGAGAGTCAGTTCAGTTGTCTTTCTCTTTATGAAATTTTACAAACTTCCCAAGAAAAGTCAGTTGCCCCCACTTCTGTGGTCCCTCAGTACTTTTGTGCTCTTCTATCACAGCACTTACCAAATTGTTGTATTTACTTGCTTTTCTCCCATCTGACTGCAAGCAACTTTAGGACAGAGATTTTATCCTATATCGCTGAATATTCAGTACTTAGCACAGTGCCTGGAACATTGTATGTTTGCTGAATTAATGAATGATTACTGAGACATCTCCCAGGACAGGAAGCAGATAATCAGCCAAGCACTCCCCAGCAATAGAGCAAGCTGACACCACACAGGCATATATCTGAGGAAGAGGTTCCCTGAAAGTCCCAGGAGTTCCAGGCTTGAAAGAAAGCAAACTTTCTTTGTCATAAATAAAGGAAGAAAAAGGTATTTTTCATATGAATTACTGGATGTTGTCACTTAGAGCAACCCCAGAAGCCACATATTAAAGATAGTGTCCTTATGTTAAAGACGCTGTCACCCAGAGCAACCTTGGAAGCCATGTTATGAAGGTGTCAGTCAGTTTTTGAACAGTTGTGGATCAGAGGGCTTCCCACCCTGCCAATTCCCATTAATTGGACTTTTAGACCTTACATGAGATGAAAAATAAACTTTTATTGTATTAATCCACTCAGATGTCAAGATTTATCTGTTATAGTATCTAGCATTATCTATTTACAGAAATTGGTACATTGAGGTTAGGTGTGATTGTAACAAAACCTAAATATGTGGCTTAACAGTCAGCGAGTGATAAAAAACAAAAATCAAGACCTACAAAGATGGAGACCCAGGTTTGTACTATGCAAATATTTAATAAAAATATTACCTATGATGACTTGTGTATTTGTTGTATATTGCTGTGTAACAAATCACTCCAAAACTTAGAGAGTTAAAACAACAAGCATATCTTATTCCTCACAGTTTCTGTAGGTCAGGAATCCTAGAGCAGCTTGGGTGGGGTCTCTCGGAAGATTGCAGTCAAGTATAGGTGGGACCTTCAGTTATCAGAGGTTTGACTGGGATGGTAGGATCCACTCATTCACACGTCTGCACAACTACCAAGTTAATGCTGGCAAGTTAGTTTCTCTCCACTTGGGCCCCTCCATGGGGCTGCTTGAGTGTCCTTATGACCCAGTAGCTGGTTTCCCCCAGAGAAATTGATTCAAGAGACCAAAGCAGAAACTTCAATGTCTTTTATGACCTAAACTTGGAAGTCGTGTACCATCGATTCCACCATATTCTGTTGGTCATTTTTTCTCAGACTGCCCCAACCACTGTGGAGAGAATAAACTAGAAAGAAGCAAGATTTAAGGCAAAGACATCAATTTTGGCTCTTTTTTCTGTTTCAATGATTTCATTGTACGTATAATATGCATTGTAATCTGCTCTAAATGCTTCTGTTCAATTGTCACCATAAAGGAAGCCCTCATCCGAGGATAATGTGTGGTCATGACCCCTTTGACCAGGACAGTTTCTGTGTCCTCTTTTCTTTCTTTTCCTCCAGCATCTGTTTTTCTCTGACACTCAGCTTTCCTGAAAACTGTTTAGCATTTCTAATTCATCCAAATTTTCCAGTTGTATTTTTCTTTCTCATCTACTGCAGTTTTCATCTTTAAACTAGCTAGATCTGTAGATGGAAGAAACAATGAGGTACCTCCGAAATTGAGTTAGAGCAGCGTGACCAACAAAAAATGATGAAATTAGATAAACACAAGAGACCTGAACCAATGCAATATAACTTAACATTTAAAAAACTCAGTAATATCTATGAGGCAGACACTATGACAGGGAATGTCGTTATGATATTACAACAATTGTTCATCTCTCTAAGATCTCTCAGATCAGAAGGTCAACTTTCTCCATTTTTTTTTCATAATTGCATCAGCCTATGGCACTAAAGTTCTAGGACAACTCTATATTTTTCTTGAATTACAGATTGCTTGTCTTCCTTTAAATATTTTTTAGAAATTTACTTATCCAATAGTCAAAGAGGATTCTTCTTTACATTTTTATTAATTCTGTTGACCTAATTTTACTGTGTCTAGTCAGGTACTATACCTATTCTGGAATGGACGAGATTCTCAGTTTTATAGATAAGTAATAGGGAAAATGACAACAACTAGACAGAGAATAACCTGGAGTCTGTGGAAGGTTTCAGAGACATGAGAAGAAAACAACACCGAAAGTAAAAGAATGGCATAATTTCAAAAAATCTTTACTTAAAAATATATTTATTTAAAATCTGTTTTGTACTCTCAAAAAAAAGGTTAAAGAAAACATGGACTCTATAAAACAATACATGAAACACAAGATAATAAGGTACTAGACTGAATTGTAAAAGGAGCTGGCAGAGTAGCAAACAATGCTACAGCAGAATTTAAGAATAAAGAGCAGAATTAGCAATACATAAAACCAAATCAATTTTGTAAAGAATCAATATCAGAAATTGGCCCAAATGCCAAAAGAAAGGACAAAGAGATGAAAATTATCAAAGAAGAAATAATAGATATGGAGGAAAGACAATAAAAATCCAACACATGAATATCAATGCTCCTGAAGAAAAATCAGGACAAGTGAACCATAAGCTCTAAAGATACAATAGAAAGAAATTTTCTTGAGCTGATAAAAGATCTGAAATTGCAAATTGGAAGGGACTCATCATGCACCAGGAAAAAAAAATCTAGATAAATTTTGATTTGCAAGTATAAAGACATAATTCTATAATTTAGAAAAGTAATGAAACAACCCCTGCAATGGTTTTTGTACCACTGTTGAACAGCTGTTTTCACATTCTTGTCTGCTTGTGAACACAGAGTAGGGTCATACCTCTCTCAATAGGAGGTGAGGCTTCCTTGAAGATAATAGATATTTCAAATGTTAACGGCTGAAAAGAGAAAGATTATAAGGTGAGAAAAGAGAATTTGGAAGGTGGGCCTTAAACAGGAACAAGAGGGAATTCCTTTCTCTGAGCTTCATTCTTTTGAGGCTGCAATCCAAAGTCATAATCTGCTCACTAGTGCTTCCAAAAAAGAAGGGAAAATGGCATCTGCCATATGGAGGCAAGCTAGGAACTAAGTTGGGGAGTTAATGAGTTAATACAAGTCAAGATCTTAAAACAGTACCTGGCACGTAGTAAGCACTTCACAAATATTAGCTGTCATCACCTTCATAATTATCATTCTATGTGATATGATTACTGTAATTTAGCATAGCCTTATTATTATTATTATTATTATTATTATTATTATTGAGACAGTCTTGCTCTGTCACCCATGCTGAAGTCCAGTGGCACAATCTCAGCTCACTGCAACCTCCACCTCCCGAGTTCAAGCAATTCTTCTGCCTCAGCCTCCAGAGTAGCTGCGACTACAGGCACATGCCACCATGCCTAATTTTTGTATTTTTAGTAGAGACTGGGTTTCACCATGTTGGCCAGGCTGATCTTGAACTCCTGACCTCGTGATCCACCCACCGTGGCCTCCCAAAGTGCTGGGGTTACAGGCAGGAGCCACTGCACCTGGCCTCGTCTTATTATTAAACGATGTACCTTAGACTCAGCTTTGATAGTGATTTAAGAAAAAGGTTTATGTAATCTGAAGGGTAAAGGAGAGAGATTCCTCCTCTCCCTCAGAGGCCGCTGTTGGTCATGGGGATGAGTAATAGCTTAAAAGGAAAAGAGAAGCTGGAGTGAGCATAAGGAACCAAAACTCACGGCTCTCAGTTTCAGCCAACCCTCTCAATGTGGCGCTAGTCCTTCCAATGCCAACTGTGGATGAACAGAGTGTTTACCAAGTTACTTACAAAGGAAAAACAATATCAGGCTGGCACCATACTTCTACATAACACATTAAATCTCAGAAAAGAAGAGATTATCCACAGAATATTGAGGATGAAAAACTTAAGCTGAAAACTCCACAAGCCAAATTTCATTCATGTGTGAAGCCAATTGAAAGGCACTCTCAATTATGCAAAAGCTCAAAATACCTGCAAATCCTTCTTTAAAGAAAAAATTTATTTCATAAGCCAAAATATTTATTTATTTATTTATTTATTTATTTATTTATTTATTTATTTTTGAGATGGAGTTTCACTCTTGTCACCCAGGCTGGAGTGCAATGGCGTCATCTCAGCTCATTCAACCACCACCTCCCGGGTTCAAGCGATTCTTGTGCCTCAGCCTCACGAGTAGCTGGGATTAGATGTGTGCGCCACCACACCTGGCTAATTTTTGGATGATTAGTAGAGACAGGGTTTCACCATGTTGGCCAGGCTGGTCTTGAATTCCCGACCTCAGGTGATCCACCCACTTCAGCCTCCCAAAGTGCTGGGATTACAGGCATTAGCCACCGTGCCCGCCCAAGAGAAATATTTTTTAAAAGAATTCAAGGCTGGGCATAGTGGCTCATACCTGTAATCCCAACATTTTGGGAGGCAGAGGTGGGAAGACCGTTTGAGTCCAGGAGTTTGAGACTAGCCTGGGCACATTGTGAGATCCTGTCTCTACAAAAATTTAAAAATTAGCCAGGCATGGCGGCACACACCTATAGTCCCAGCTACTTGAGAAGCTGAGGTGGGAGGATCACTTGAGCCCAGGAACTACAGTGAGCTGTAATCATGCCATTGCACTCCAACCTGAACAACAAAGTGAGATGCTGTCTCAGAAAAAAAAAGAAAGAAATCAAGAAGGCAAAGTATGAAAGAGGCTGATGATGAATACTGAAGACATTTAAGCATGAAATGAATTAAATGTAACTATTTTAAGTATAGTTACAAAACAGAATACAAATATCATAAATAATCCTTAACAAAAAAATATTTTTAAAGTAAGGTTTAAAATCCCAGATTACACCAACATAAACTTGGGTATTGTGTGGGGTGAAGGTAGTAACAAAGAAGGAGAAATGTGAGAAAGTATAAGTGTCCTGGTATTCTCAACTTACAAAGATGCTATTTTATTCTCTATGTTAGTAATAAGAAAAATATAAAGTTGTGTGTGTCATTTTAAAACAAACTGCATGCCTTCCAGATTACTGGGAAACAAAACAAGAAACAAGGACTATACAGTCCATATAGCAAAAAAGAAGAAAAAAACAGAAAAAAAAGCAAAACTAAAGACCAAACACACAAAATATGAGAGCAGAATCATTAAATCAAACCAAAATATTGATCTTTATTAATACAAAATATAATATGCAACAAAGACATACTATGAATCATTTTGCACTGAAAAATAAGGCACTGGACTGCATGAAACTTTCAGAAAAAAATGGAGATATGGACAGAAAAATAGTAGCAATAAAAGACTTCAGTCCTTGACGAATTGATAGAAGACAAAAATATAGAGGACTTCAATGTAATTTACAAGTCTGATTTAATGGATATGTAATGAAATGTTAAACAAAATATTTCCTATGTTTTGGAGTTTCAGTAAGGTTACATAACCAAGGACAATAAATGCCCAATGCCTACACTTTCTAAAAAGTGGTACAAAGCACAATCTAGAATTCCTTTAAAAAAAAAAAGTAGCCCCCAAATGGTCTTGCAACTCCTAGCTCATAATCCACCTCTGGGTTATTTAAAAGAAAGATAAAGGTTAATCGATAGGAGCAGTCTTTGAAGAGAGTTGTCAGACTGGAAGAAAGAATTGTGGTGTTTCTCATCCCCTTCCCTTACTCCCCTCCAAGTGAGGGGCTCAAGGAAAACCCCTGAGACTTTTCTGGGAAGCACTTGCTGGGAGGGAGGCCTGACCTCTTTCTCACTAGTCATTAGCAGCCTATTCGTCTGCAGAAGTTCACAGGTTTACCTCCGGCTGCCACAGTCGCCAATCTTGCAGGAGCTTGATGTGTGTCCTCAGAATTTGCTGGGACATAGACACAGTGACCTTCCCTTACCCAGGGAAAATTGGAGGCTTGAACGTGTTTCTTGCAGGCCAAATTCTTCACCATCATATTATTTTATTATAGTAAACAACACCAAAAAAAAAAAAAAATCCAAAAGGTAGATTGGTTAAGTTACTCATGACATAACCATATGATGGAATGTTATTGAGTCAATAAAAATGTTATAAAGTCTTTGGCATGAGAAAATATTCATAATATACATTTTTTGAGACAGGGTCTCACTGTCTCCCGGGCTGGAATGCAGTGGTGCAATCACAGATTACTATAGCCTCAACCTCCTAGGCTCAAGCAATCCTCCCACTTCAGCCTCCAGAGTAGCTGGGATTACAGGTGTGTGCCACCATGTCTGGCTAATTTTGTTGTTGTTGTTGTTGTTGTTGTTGTTGTTGTTTTTATAGAGACAGGGTCTCCCAATGTTACCCAGGTTGGTCTCAAACTCCTGGGCTCAAGTGATCCTCTTACTTTGGCCTCCCAAAGTGCTGGGATTACAAGTTTTAGCCACCATGCCTGGACTATAATATATTTCTTTTTTGTTGTTGTTGTTTTTTTTTTTTTTTTGGAGACAAAGTCTTGCTCTGTCACCCAGGTTGGAGTGCAGTGGTGCAATCTCAGCTCACTGCAACCTCCACCTCCCAGGTTCAAGCGATTCTCCTGCCTCAGCTTCCCGAGTAGGTGGGATCACAGGCATGTTGCACCATGCCCAGCTAATTTTTGTACTTTTAGTAGAGACGGGGTTTCACAATGTTGGCCAGGATGGTCTCAAACTCCTGACCTCAAGTGATCCGCCCACCTCGGCCTCCCAAAGTGCTGGGACTACAGGCATGAGCCACCGTGCCCAGTCCCATAATATATTTCTAAAATGAAGCATAATGAAAACTATATAACAACATAGCATGCTCATTGTCTTAGTTCAAGCTACTATAACAAGATACCGTACATTGGGTGGCTTCAACAACAGTTTTTAAATTTTTTTATTCTTAAGTTTTGTGGGTGTATATAGTAGGTGTATATATTTAACAAACATTTATTTCTCACCGTTCCAGATGCCAGAAGTCCAGGATCAGGGTGCCAGCATGGTCACTTCTTAGTAAGGGCCCTCGTTCTGGTTCACAGACAGCTGCCTTCTCACCAGATACTCACCTGTTAGAAAGAGAGCATGCTGGTTCCTTCATCTCCTTGGAAGGGCACAAATCCCATCATGGGGCTTCACTCTCATGACCTCTTCTAAACCTAATCACCTCCTAAAGACCCCTCCTCCAAATTCTATCACATCGGGAACTAGGGCTTCAACATATGCATTTTGGGGGTACACAAACAGGATCCATTTTCTCAATGTTGGATCACAAGGAGTGCTATGGACTCCTTGTGATCCAATTTTGGGAAAATCCAAAGGTATATGTGCATTGGTGTGGGTATGCGTCACGTTAACCAAGAATAGGAATGAATATCCCAGACTTTGGAAATATGCCAGTGTTGTACTCCTTTGCAACTGTCTTAACATCATGGTGGCAAATCTCAATCCAGTGGTAAAGGTGGGGACTTCTTTAAAATAAGCGAATGTCCCTGCTGGTAGTCATCCCAGAAGAGGTTAGTCCTGGAGCAAGAATTGGTGGGGCAGTAGGGAGAGCTTTTTGCTCTGCCTGAGCACAGATGGCAGGCGACCAGAAGTTTGGAACAGTTCATACAATAAGAATATGAACTTATTGACAACCAAAACTTTTAAATATACATGTATAAACATTAATAAATAAATATACATTGAAACTAATTAACAATGAAGGAAAACTGAATGTATACTCATAATAATAATAATGGGTAAAAATTACTGCATACTTACTATAAAGTGCTTATTTTCCTGAGGGATTTATATATATTACTTAATCTTCATAATAGCCTTAGGAGAAAAGATACTATTACTATCTCTATTTTTTAGATGAGGAAACTGAAGTACAGAGAGTTTAGTGACTTGCATAAAAGCACACAATATTTAATCTTCTTTATTCCTCAGGAACACGGCCTCAAGAACAACCACGCACTTGATACAGAGTTAACTCTAACTCATATGAACCAATCAAGGCCCTGGACAGGGCGGTGCATACCAGGTCAGCACTAAGGTCGATATATCCAAAATGAGATTGTATAAGAGGAAAGGACTAGAACGCACCTCCAAGAAGGTCTGGAAAAGCGAGAACCAACTGAGGAAGAGGTTCAAAGTAGACTCAAGGAAGATGAAGGGGAATTCTTGAGCCAAAGCACAAGTGGTTGGAAAAGATTCTTAGGCTTCCTGAGGCTATGCAGTGAGCGTATCTAGAGAAAGGGGGGCGGGAGTGGAAAAAAGCAAAGAGCAAAGCTAGCACTGGCCCTTAGTCTCCTTTCTCTAGGCAAATCGGAGCTGGCATTTTCCTAGTGTGAAGGTGCTCACTCACTCTAGGAAAGTTTTTAGGTGGGGAGCAGAGTCTCACAGCCAGTCCCCAGTCAGTATACATAAGAATCTCCTGGGAAGCTGTTAAAAATGCAGATTCCTTCTTAAAAAAAAAAAAAATTGAACACACAAAAGCAGAGAGTAGAGTGGTGATTACCAGGGGCTGGGGGTGGGGGGGCTAGCTCGGGTGGGGTTGGGGAGATGTTGGTCAAAGGATACAAAATTTCAGTTAGATAAGAGGAGTAAGTTCAAGCGATCTATTGTACAATATGGTGACTACAGTTAATAGCAACGTATTGCATTTTTTAAAATCTCTAAGAGTAGATTTTAAGTATTCTCACCACAAAAAATAAGTATCTGAAGTAATACATATGCTAATTACCTTGATTTAGCCATTCCACAATGTATACACACTTCAGGACATCACTTTGTGCATGATAAATGTATATAATTTTTATTTATTATGACTCCCAGATTCCTCCTGGGAGTCACTTTCAGAAATCCCAAGTCCACTGGTCTACATTAGGGCTGATGAATCTACATTTTAAATAAGCTCCCCAAGTCGTTAGAGAACCACACGTGGAGAAAACTGCACCTATACATTTCTAGTTATCAAGTATAGATACTGTTCATGGGACCATTGGGAAATAAACACTTTTCCTCTGAATACTTGGGGTTTCCTGTCCAGCTTACACTGGTGACTTAGTGGGTCACACAGGGAAGTTCTGAGACTCAGTGAACCTGGCACAGTGGGCAAAACTACAAGATAGGATGTCTATCCATGAAGGGAGACAACTGGAATAGGATGCCACGGAATTGGTGATATCATATGTCTCAAAAGATCCCAGACTTACAACTGCATGTGAATCTACAACTATATCACAATAAGTAAAAAGTTTCAAAAGAAAATCCCTAACAGAGATCATCCAGCCACTGGCATGGGCAGGTGCTATATATGTGCCTGGAGAAGAGGTACTAGGGTGTTTCCCAGGGATCCGGTGTTAGTGTCAACTCCTGGGCCCAGTCCTTTGCATTAATTTGGAGGAAGGGGGTGAAATAGTTAGCTGTCAGTATGTGGATGGTGCTGGAAAGTGTGAGAGTACAGTAGGTATGAACACTGCAGTTGCTATGAAAAAGGACGGTAAAGTGGTGTGAGCAAACACTTGTCCAAAGGACACAGACTGATCACCTTGTCAATCGACTCTTTATAGCACATCTATGGGACTGGCTGTCAGTCTCTGGATGAGTGGCAAACAATGGCTACTAGTTATGAACATGACATATTTTGAAAAGCTCCCTTGGAAAAATAGCACGAACTGGGGAATCAGAACCCAGATTTGGTTTTACTGTCCTTGGAGGCAGAACCAAAAGATCTCACTATTCTAAGAGGATGGCAGCAGCTAGAGTGGATTGGAGAATATTACCAGCAGTAGAGATGGGAGGACAAGCCATTTTAGTGTCAGAGTCCACCATCAGCAGTAGAGACTTGCTTTGAGAGGAGAGTCAATTGGATACTAAATGCAGTGTGAAGGTTTCTAAAGACATTCCTCAATCAAAATCAGAGGGTAAAGCAGTCCCTTGAATCACCTAGGCCTGTCCTTTACCTGGACACAAGTGGTAGAGTAGAGAGAATTCTGAATGGTGTCACCCAAAGCTTTGCATAGGCCTTAGGTCAGCAGGCATTGCACACCTTCCTTTGCTATTCCTGGTTTCTGAGACTCTGATCCCCACTGTGCACCCCAGTAAGCCACCAAGGTAAACTGCTTGCCTTGATCGTCTCTCTCGGCACTCTGCACTATACACAGTCTTGAATGTCGGTTAGGTGCTGCTATGTGGGAATCTACCTGCTTCCCTAATAGATATAGCCAGGACACAAAGTTCTGTGGTTATGACACTCCCATAATAGAGCTGCCTCCACAGCTCCTTGAAATTTTGGATCAGGGATTGGACATCTAACAGGTAGTTTTGCCTGCTTAGTATGACAGAGTTCAATCCAATGAAAGGAAGACACGGTCCCTTGTGTGTAATGAATCTGCAAGTCACTTATTCAAACTGTAGTAGTCTGAACTCAGACGCTGGATGTCAGGTGCCCTCAGGATTGTCTTCCTGGGTCTTGACTGCAGCCACTGCTACACAGGGTGATTTCCTGGGCTGGAGCCAGTTTGCAGGACTATGAGACTATGTGGACTACAAAGACTAGCTAGGCCCCAGGGCGGCGGCAGAGTAAGCCCCACAGCAATGCACTAAGCCTTCATGAAATGAGTGTTGAATGAATGAGGTAGTGATTCAGTGTATATTTGACCCACGGTAACAGGTGGGAAGGGGGCAGAGGGAGCTACTTCCTAAAATAACCCTTCTTCAGACTCTTAAAGAACTGATCCTTGTTTTGAGTTAAAACCTGTCTTCATTTAACTTCCAATCATTTGCCCTACAGATAACTGTCAGTGCCACATCAGTTCTACCCATTCTTTCACATGAAGACAGATGTCATGTTCTGAGTCATCTTTCTTTGCCTCCTTCCACCAGCCCTTATCTGGTGGCTCACATTTGAGCGAGCTCCAATATGTCTTTGTATAATCTCTCCTTTTTTTTTTTTTTTTTTTTTGAGATGGAGTCTCGCTCTGTCGCCCGGGCTGGAGTGCAGTGGCCGGATCTCAGCTCACTGCAAGTTCCGCCTCCCGGGTTCACGCCATTCTCCTGCCTCAGCCTCCCGAGTAGCTGGGACTACAGGCGCCACCACCTTGCCCGGCTAGTTTTTGTATTTTTTAGTAGAGACTGGGTTTCACCATGTTAGCCAGGATGGTCTCGATCTCTTGACCTCGTGATCCGCCCGTCTGGGCCTCCCAAAGTGCTGGGATTACAGGCTTGAGCCACCGCGCCCGGCCTCTTTTTTTTTTTTTTTGAGACGGAGTTTCGCTCTTGTTGTCCAGGCTGGAGTGCGATGGCGTGATCTCGGCTCACCGCAACCTCCCCTCCCGGGTTCAAGCGATTCTCCTGCCTCAGCGTCCCTAGTAGCTGGGATTACAGGCATGCACCACCACGCCCGGCTAATTTTGTATTTTCAGCTGGTCAGGCTGGTCTGGAACTTCCGACCTTAGGTGATCGGACCGCCTCGGTCTCCCCAAGTGTTGGGATTACAGGTGTGAGCCACCGTGTCCGGCCTGTAAAATCTCTTAAAAGTGTGGTACACGGAGTGCAGTACTCCACCTGTGGCCTAACTGATATGCAGTACAATATTATCACTAAATTGCTACAGACGGTGTGCTTTTCATTGTTGTCACAGGAATGTATTTGGTTAGTTATATTTGTTAACATCTCATCTGACTTTCCAGTCTTCCTTCACTTTGTGCAGTCATATTTGCCGAGTCAAGTAAGTTATAATATTTAGGACACAATGCCTGACTTACTATAATTATCTTATTAGCTATGATCATTACAAAACAGAATTACCACTTAGCTCTCAGGTCCTACCTCCTTCAGCCTCAGAAACGTTAAGGCTACCTAGCATTGCATCGGCTTTTTAGTATTGCCCCTAATAAGCCCCGCCCCTGGGACCTCTGCAGCTGGAGCCTAGCGTCCGCCCCACCCACGCCGAGCCCGAGGCGGGGCTCTGGATGTAGCCGCTGATTGGCTGGCTCGGGCGCAGCTTGATGGCTTCAGCCTGGAGAGCCGCCGTTCCGGCTGCGGCACCTGGGAGAAGGCAGCCTGTAGAGAGTCCGGTGGCACCAGCGTGCCGTGGCCTCGGGGAGTGGGAAGTGGAGGCAGGAGCCCTCCTTACCCTTCGCCATGAGTTTCCTGATCGACTCCAGCATCACGATTACCTCTCAGGTGAGTCACCGCCTCCCGCCCCGACACCCGTCCGCCTCCCTTTCCCGAATCGCCCTCTCCGGTCCTCCGCGGTGCGGGCTGGTCGGGGGTCTCGCGTCTCTCTCAAGCGGCCTGCGCCAGTTACTCCGGGACCCAGAGCGCGAAGAGGGTGTGCGATTTGCTGCCTCCGGTTCTCTCAGCCCCGGCTGTCAGGAGGCTGGCCTGCGGCCGTCCGCGGTCCCACCCGGCATCCGTCCCTGGAATTTCGGTCCACTTTTGGAAGGGGTCCGCCGGCCTCCACGCTTAGAGCCGGCGCCGCCAGCTAAGGCGGCGGTCCTCAGAGCTCCTCAGAGCTTCCAGGCTGCGCCGCTGACCCTGGGCTAGGGAAGCCTGTGTGGTTCCGGGCACCGGGTGTGCGGCGCGCCAATCAGGGCTGGATACTGAGGACACGTCAGTGCAGGCTTTGCTGTTAGATGTCAAATCCTGCATCCAGGTGTGGAGAAATTTGCTGCTTCAAAGTATCAATATAAGGTTACGCCTATGCTTAAAAGTTAAGATTTCGCTTTTGCGCTGACACCTCATCCTTTATCCTCTGCTTACTTACCCACACTTTTCGGATGTTTTTCTGACCCTCATTTCTCCATTGGTCACCTTCATTTGTTTGTACAGTCAACAAACATTTATCGACCATTATATAAAGCTCTGAGCGTACAAACATATAACACACCGTCTCTGCTCAATAGAAGCTTCGTCTAGTGAGCCTCTTGCTTTTACCATGTAATCCATTGTTAATTATTGTTTCTTCCTAGCATTTATCATAGCACTGGCATCATTTATGTATATGTTTATGGTTTTGTTTTTTGAGATCCTGCCTTGTTCATAGCTGTATCCCCACTTCCAAGTGCAGGCATTCAATAAATAATTGTTGGCCAACTGTTAATATTTGTGAAGCTCAGACTACCTATTGATTTTTTTCCCCTCGTCTTTCCAATAATTTAAAGATGGGTTTTTTTGTGTGTGTGGTTATTTTTACTTGTTCTTTCTCTCAAATGGCAAATAACAGAAACAGTTACCTTTTGGGGCTTAAAGTGAACTAGATTTTTGTTCTTTGATTCAGTTTTTGTATTGCTTCATCCTAATACTCGTCTCCGTAGAGCAGAGCATTGTCCTTTTCTCTTCAAAAACTTTTACGATATTTAAGAAATTACGAAAGAAGGAAAAGCCATCCATAATCCTACCACTCTAATGCAATCGTTTTTTTGTTTCATGTTTTGAATTTACCACCTTTGCTATATTTTCATAATTATTGTTTTTATTGGCTTCATAGTATTCAAATGTATTAATGTAAAAAAACCTGGGCATGTAACTCTTCTGCTTAAAACCTTGCTAAGACTACCCAGTGCCCTTGGTGACAACTCAGGGTTATTTTTAACCCTAGTACCAATTTAAGAAAAATAACAATATTTAATTAGCTTTTTTTTTTCACTTAGAATAAAGATAAGAATGTCAGTAGAAAATTGGCTTTGCATTGCAGCCTCTAGGATTTTTAGCGTGGATATAATTGATACATTGAACCAAAGAAGTGGCTTTCTAATTTTGTATGCCTTGTAATCATAGACTTTTACATGCAGTAATTAATTGTTAAACCTGCTCTTTACAAATGTGGAAGAAAGACCCAAAGATTCCTTTGCATGGAATGTTCTCTGTTCAAATATTTATGTGGCTACTTTATCATCATTTCGGCATTAGTAAAAATGTCACTTTAGGAAGATTTTACCTGACACCCTGCCCGCAGCCAAAGTAGCTTTCCATTCCGGCTGCCTTCTTCCTCATTTCCATTTTTAATTTTCTTCTTGGCATGTATTACTATAGTTCATTTGTATGTTCATGTGTTTGTTGTCTGTCCATGAAGTCCAAGACACTGTCTTTCTTGTTCTCTCCTGTATTCACCAGCATCTAGATCAGTTGCGGGCACACAGTAGCGTTGTAGTGAATATGTATTTAATAAAAAGCACTTCTCTAGAGAGGTGCGGTTACCTTGGAAACACCACCATTGCCCCCTGCGCCCCTCCCCACTCATTTTTTCTCTGTTGTATTAACTGAAAGGTTGATTTGAAATGAAATCTGAAATCAGAGATCCCATATTGAATCTTGCTCACTGCGCCACAGGATGAAGTTCACGCTCCTTTACGTGGCTTTTCAGGTCCATTATTGATGGGACCCTCGCTCTTATCAGGTCCCTTATTTATGGGACCCTGGCTCTTCTCTCTTCAGCTGTGGCTTTCACCATTTTATTCTTTAGACTTCCTGAACTTCTTTTAGTTCCCTAACCTGGCCATGCTGTGGTGCCTCCAGATTTCCACACAGTGTGTTTTCTCTTTCTGGGCCTTTTTGTCATATGCCTCCCCTTCTTTCAGCCTTCAGATCTCAACTTGAACATCCAAGAAGCTTCCCCTAGACTGGACTAGATGTCCCTATACATACTGCCATAGTACCCTTCACCTACTTCCCCTGTAACAACGCTACCACATTGTTTTGTAATTACTCGTTTATCTCCTCTATAGATTATAAACTCTTTGAGAGTAGCATTCATGCTCTCGTTTGTCATTCTATCCCTTGGACCTGGCACATATTAGGCACTAATAAATATTTGTTAAATAATTAAAAGGATGAATAAATGATCCAAGAATAAACTATCTTTTATAGTTAATTCTTTAATAACTATCCTGCTGATGGCCTCTTTTTTCTTTTTAACAGTAGCTAATTTTCAACCCAGAAGTCACTTATAAAACAACTGTTATCTAACTCATGTTTTGAGCCCTCTGTACAGTCATTAAGACTTACCAGTTCTACCGTACACTCTTAAGTCCTAAGGTCAAGATTTTACTCTTTACAATTCTGAAAGTATTAAGTCTCGTTTTTAATACGAAGTTATGCGCCTTCCATTTTATTTGCAAAGCTATTTGAAATTGTGTTTTGCTTCTGCATTCTTTTTGGATCCTCTATAATCTTGCCAGAATTTGTGTTTATCTTGGATCTGATGAATTCTCCAGCTACTTTTGTGTATGTCTGTAGTTTAAAAGTCTTTTTTTTTTTTTTTTTGAGACGGAGTCTTGCTCTGTCACCCAGGCTGGGGTGCAGTGGCCGGATCTCAGCTCACTGCAAGCTCCGCCTCCCGGGTTTACGCCATTCTCCTGCCTCAGCCCCCCCGAGTAGCTGCGACTACAGGCGCCCGCCACCTCGCCCAGCTAGTTTTTTGTATTTTTTTAGTAGAGACGGGGTTTCACTGTGTTAGCCAGGATGGTCTTGATCTCCTGACCTCGTGATCCGCCCACCTCGGCCTCCCAAAGTGCTGGGATTACAGGCTTGAGCCACCACGCCCGGCCAAAAGTCTTTTTTTTTTTTTTTCAACTTTTATTTTATTGTAGATTTGGTACTTGTGCTGGGTATATTGTGGGAGCTGAGGTTTGGGGTACAAATGATTCGGTCACCCAGGTACTGAGCATAGTACTCAATAATTAGTTGTATCAATCCTTCCCCTTTCTCTCCTCCCCTGCCCCCAAGTAGTCTCCAGTTTCGTTTTTTGCCGTCTTTATGTTGGTGAGTACCCAATATTTAGCTCCCACTTAGAAGTGAGAACATGTGGTATTTGGTTTCCTGTTCTTGTGTTAATTTGCTTAGGATGATGGCCTCTAGCTGCCTCTATGTTGCTGCAAAAGACATAATTTTGTTCTGAAAGACTGTTTAAGCTTTCTTTGTCAATGTGAAAGGAGGCCACAATGAAATATTAAAGGTATATATCTGTTTCTCTTTTCTTCCATTCCCCTCCCCACCATATAAACTTAAAAGTTTTGCTTGTTTTCTCTTCTTGTCTAAAGTTCCATTTCACAGCAATCTTGGTGATTTTTTTTTTTTTAAATCATCCATTTCCACTATACGTACCATTCTCAGTCCTAACTACCCAACTTCTCTGTTTTCAGTTGTGGCTTCGTAAGTCATATGAATATGGTCTCTAAACTCTGAATTTACATTTGTCTTCACGGGTAACCATTTATAATAGCCAAAGGATATCCTGGCATTTTCTCCTAATCTGCTTGACTCTTTCCTTTTCTACTTGATCTAGATGCTTGGATCCAACTTACTTTCTTACAACCTCTTGTTCGTTTACCTTCATATATATGTAAGTCCATACTTGGATCATTGCTATAGTTTGTCTACTAATACAGAGGCCTGAAGGCTACTGTAGAAAATCACACAGCTGTATAGTTTGCCAATGCCATGAGTTTAACCCTCAACTCACTGAATTATTCCTTTTCTTGACCTTAATCAGTTACTTGTTTCATTCCTCTCAAAGTTTCTCTGAATCTTTGTCACTCTCCTCAAAGCTGCCTTTTCTATACTCACCTGTCCTACTCCTAGCAGGTAACCTTGCCTCGTACTTACTCAACAAAAGTGAAGCCAAAAGGTATGTTCTCCTACTATGAATACTTTCTGCATTTTAATCTAAAAGGTTATCTGTGTTCACAACCATTCTCACCTCCTTTCCTTCCATTTCAGAAAACGGGGTTCCCCTACTCCGGTTTAAGGCCATTTTACTTACTTTGATCTTAGAGTAGCTTGTTTTGAAGTGGTTAAAAGCACAGGTTTTCTAGACAGACTGACTCAATAAGAGCTGAAAAAATAATATTTAAACAAAAAGCACAGATTTTGGAGTCAAACAAGCTTGAGTTCATTCTTGATTCTGACACTTACTATAAATTGATTAACTTCTCTAAACCTCATCTTTCTCTGTGAAAATAGGACAATAAAACCTACCTTAGTAGGTTTTTTACTGGTTTTTATAAGATTATAATGCTAAGTACTACTTAGAGAGCCTGGAATATAGTAAATGCTTAATAAAAGTTACCTAATAATAATAATAAATTAATAGTATCAGTTCATCCTCTAGCATTCCATCATCCTTCTCATCTTTTTCTCCTTACTTGACTGCTTTCTTTCCCCTTGGCCAATAAACTTTCCCTTTTTCCACATTCTTCTCTAGCCTATTAGCTAATGTTTTCTCTTTTTCTCATTCCTGGCTCTTCCTAGAGTAATTTGCATTTACTATCCCCACTGGTTTAGCTCCCATTCATTCTGACCTGCTACACTCTGGTTCCTGCCCCTACCTCACCATTCAAACTGTGTTCCTTATCCTCTAGTACTTTCTTCTTGGCACATTGCTCTCCTTACTCTAGATACTGTTCCCGGGTGATCTCATGTACTTTGGTAGTTTCAACTCATAGGTATATCTTAGATGTGTCTTCGCAATCTGTCTTTTATTCAGATGCTTGCTGGATATCTTGACCCATCTTGCTGGATATCTTGACCCATATTGCTGACTGTCCCTCAGGCCCTTAGTGTGTTCAGAAATGAGCTCATCATTTTCCCCATCCTCTGCCCCCTTTCCTAAACCTCTTCTTTCTCCAGTGTTCTTTATATAAATTGGGTAGCTTCACTATTCATCCTGTATTCCAAACTAGTCATCCTTGACTTCTCCCTGCTGATTTTATCTTCTAAATAGTTCTCAAATCTGTCGTCTCCTCTACTGTCACCAAATGTCTTAATTCAGGGCTTTCTCATCTTTCATCTGAACTCCCATAACACA